TAACCAAAAATGGTTAGAAAAGAAAGTGCGATAGAATATGCAAACATACTAAAAAGAAAAAAAGGCCTCTGGATATGAGATAATGGACTATTATCAACCAATTAGGTCTAATTGAGATTTATCAGACACTAGGCAGAACTATCACCAAGTTCCCACCAAGGCCAGACCACAGAAAACCTCAATGAACTTCAAAGAGTGAAGACAAATAACTTCCAAGAATACTCTATGACAAACAATTATTTAAAAGGAGGAAGAAGGTTAACTACTCTCCTTACAATTTGTGGTGCTGACACTAGACATTTTCTAGCACTTTCTCCTCAGTGTGCTCACGATCATTATTTGCTCACAAGTATGTTACCCCAAGACGAAGAATGTTTTCTCTAATGTCATAAACAGTAGAACTATTTCATTGGAAAGTGCAAAGAATAAATATGGGTTGAACTTAGTCTCTCTTTCCCTGGCTTCTGCAGTTCCCTATTCTCAGAAAATGCAATCTTCCACCTGAAGCCTGGCACCATATGATTTGGACACATCAGAACATCTGTTGCTTAAGATTGTCTAAAATAATCTCAGTTGCTACTGAGGACAATGAACTTCTGCAAAAGAGAATCTGTCAATCAGGATCTGCACAGCACTTAGCTTTTTTTTTTTTTTTTTCCCTCAGCTCACTTCTGGATTTGAGAGTAATGTGGATGTCCTCATACTCTCCTCTCCTCCAAAAGATGCTGTAGGAGTGCACACACACACACACACATATACACACACACATATACACACGTGTGTGTGCACGTATGCACGCATATGTGTCTCAGAGACAATCAGACTTTAGACATAAAATAATAAAGTACGGCAAGAGCTCCTAAACTGAGACCCTCTCTTCCTATTGGGAAGGGTTCACCTAAAAAGTGCCACATCTCGGCATGATACCTAGCTTGTACAGGAGGCTTTCGTGGAAGGATGGTGAATTCAAGGACAGACTAGGCAACCTATCAAAATTCAATCTTTCTTTTTTTGTTGTTGTAAGTGTACTAGTACTTGATCTCAAGGACTCTGTACTCTGGCTTAAGTTTTTCCACTTAATCCTCTTGAGCCACACCTTCCCTCACGGCTTTTGCTAATTGGATGTAAAAATCTTTCTGATTGGAAGTGGTCCTGTGGATCAAGTGGCAGAGCATTAGCCTTGAGCACAGAGAGGCTAGGGGACAGCGTCCAGGCCCTGAGATCAAGCCCCACAACAGACAAAAAAGAAAAAAAAAAAGAAAGACAGAAAAGAAAAGAAAAAAGAAAGAGAAAGCTAAGTTAGATCTGGGAATGTGGATTAGTACTTGCCTAGCATGCATGACGGCATGGGTTCGATTCCTTAGTACCATATAAATAGAAAAAAGTCGGAAGTGGTGCTGTGGCTCAAGTGGTAGAGTGCGTGTCTAGCATTCATGAAGCCCTGGATTCGATTCCTCAGTACCACATAAACAGAAAAGGCTGGAAATAGTGTTGTGGCCCAACTGGTAGAATGCTAGCCTTGAGCAAAAGAAGCTCAGGGGCAATGCCCAGGCTTTGAGTTCAACCCCCAGGACTGGAAAATAATAAATAAATAAAAATAAATAAATGAAAAAAAACTGTGTTAAGTCTTAGCATTGGTCAGAGTCTCAAGAAATAGAACCATTGACTTCTAATGTGTAAAAAGAATGTGATGCCCTTTTTTTTAAGGTTGCCAACAACCTTTCCACATCTCAGCCGTAGGGAACACCCAAGACTCCCTTTCTCTTCTCTCCTTTCCTCTTTCTTCTCTTTTCTCTTTAGTCAGTTGTGAGGCTTGAACTCAGAGCCTAGGCACTGTCCCCAAGCAAATTTTATATTCCAGGCTAGCCCTCTGTCATGGAAACCACAGCTGTGCCTTGAATAAGCAGATAAAAGTCTGCCCCAGACTTTTATCATATGAGGTGGTCCTCTGGCTTCTTAGCACCTCCAGTCTTTCTTTCCTTCCTTCCTTCCTTCCTTCCTTCCTTCCTTCCTTCCTTCCTTCCTTCCTTCCTTCCTTCCTTCCTTCCTTCCTTCCTTCTTTCTTTCTTTCTTTCTTCCTTCCTTCCTTCCTTCCTTTCTTTTCTTCCTTCTTTCTTTCTGTTCTTTCCTTCCTTCCTTCCTTCCTCCCTTCTTCCCTCCCTCTCCCTCTCCCTCTCCCTCTCCCTCTCCCTCTCCCTCTCCCTCTCCCTCTCCCCCCCCCCCCCCCCTCTTTGTGCCAGTCCTAAGGCTTGAATTTAGGGGCTAGGCCTGTCCTTGAATTTTTTTTTTTAAGGCTAGGACCCTACCACTTGAGCCACAGTTCCACTTCTGGCTTTTTGGGTGGTTAATTAGAGATAAAAATGTCACAGACTTTCCCGGCCAGGGTGTCTTTGAAACCATCATTCTCAGATCTTGGTGTCCTGAGGAGGTAGAATTATAGGTGTGAGCCACCAGTGCCCAGTTTACTCTCTTTTCCTTGGATTTCAGCTCACATGTGTTTCTCCAGAGGGAAATTGGTCCTGTTGAATGGCAAGACCCCATCAGCTTCCTGGTTCTTATTGTTTTTCAACATGTATTGTTTTTTGAGCATGTTTATTTCTGTGTGTGTGCTGCTAGGTTTGTGTGTGTGTGTGTGTGTGTGTGTGTGTGTGTGTGAAGCCTTGGTTTGATTTATATATTGATTTAAACATTTTTCTGTCATAAAGTCAGGCTAAAATTTACTCTAACATATCACTCCCCCCCCCACATATGTATATACACTCATACCTATAATAGCTACTGTGTACTACCTAGAATTCTCAAGCTGAGGATTGAGGTTTGAAGGCTCCCAAGTAGCTGGGATTATAGGCGTGAGCCACCACACCGGGCTGATGTGCTTATTATTATTATTTATTTATTTTTATTTCATTTAATTTGTGTGTGTGTGTGTGTGTGTGTGTGTGTGTGTGTGTGTGTGTGTGTGTGTGTGTGTTGGTCGTGGGGCTTGAACTCTGGGCCTGGGCGCTGTCCCTCAGCTCTTCAGCTCAAGGCAAGTCCTCTACCACTTGAGCCACAGCATCACTTCTAGATTTCTGAGTTGTTTATTGAAGAGTCTCACAGATTTTCCTGCCCAGGCTGACTTTGAACAAGGTTCCTCAGATCTCAGCCTCCTGAGTAGCTAGGATTACAGGCGTGAGCCACCAATGCCCAGCTTACTTATATTTATTTATTTATTTTGGTCGGTCGTGGGACTTGAACTCTAGGCCTGGGTGCTATCCCTCAGCTCTTCAGCTCAAGGTGAGCCACAGTGCCACTTCTGGTTTTCTGAGTGGTTTATTGGAGGTAAGAGTCTCAGGGCCTTCCTGGGCTGGCTTTGAACCATGATCCTCAGATCTCAGCCTCCTGAATAGCTAGGATTACAGGCATAAGCCACCAAGCCTGGCTTTTAATTATTCATATTTATTTATTTTTAAACAAAATCACTTTGTATCAGAACTTGTTCCTGGCTATAGCTTTCAGTCATATGATAGTGTCTTATAGAGCCAAGAGCTCAGGAAAATACATTTATTAAATTAATAAAGTAAATAAAACAAGTGTATACACTGGGACTGATACATATTTTTAAAAAACCAAGTCAAGTGCCAATGGCTTATGCATGCAATCCTAGCTACTCAGGAGGCTGAGATATAAGGATCTCAGTTCAAAGTCAGCTCTGGCAGAAAACTTTGAGAGACTCTCATCTCCAAGTAAGCACCCAAAAAGTCAGAAGTGATGCTAAGGATCAAGTGGTAGAGTGCTAGCCTTGAAAAAAAAAATTCAGGGACAACACCCAGGACCCAAGTTCAAGCCCCAGGACTGACACCACTACCAACAAGGAGAATAAAAGCAAGCAGAGAAAAAAACAACCCATTGCAACTGCTCAGCCCTGAGGGGTTTCTACTTGTTATGTCATATCTACATTTCTGTAGAGGGACGTTGCTTTGATATTTGCATAACAAATTGGCTATGAAAAGTAATTGGACCGATAATGGTCCCCTATCAAAGGTGTGCCCCAGTTCCAACAAATGCAAAACACAAAATCCAAGACAAGTCCAAAAAAAAAAAAAAAAAAAATCACACACCCTTTTTATTTTCCCCACCCACAAGTTTAACAAAAAGTCAGAGGTGGTATTTTCCCCTCTGGCCAAAAAGTAAAGGTATTAAATGGCTGGTTGCTGACTGGGTAAGGTCGAGGTACGAGTCTTTTAGAGGAGGGCTCACGTCGACTGAGCTGACCACCAGTTGGATAACCAGGTAATTCCAAAAGGTGAGTGGAGAGGGAAGGGTTCCGAGGACTGGGTATAGCTGAAGGGAGCATCTAGTAATTTTCATCAGAAACACCCAAACAAACTTTCAGGCTAAGTAAGAGAGCTGAACCTGTTAAGCAAATAGAAGCAGCTCTAAAGCAAAAGGTGGTGCTTGCTGTTTTTAACTGCTTAGCAGCTTCTAGTGAATCCTGGTGTGGAGCGAATACCCTGGAGCCAGTTCCATTTCTCTCTCTGGGATGGGGGAAAGTGAGATCGAGGCTGCTGTTGAAGAGCATCAAGTCTAGGGCTGTAGGCCTTTAAAATCTCTCAAATCAGAAGAAAGGCGAATGGCCAGCTGGGAAGGGTGGCTTGAAAGTAGAGACTGACTTGAGAAGGCCAGCGCACAAGCTCCTCATTCACCGTCCAGAAAATGAAAAACCAGAGTCCAGAAGAGGGAGAGAAGAGGATGAACGTAAAACACTAGGGTGAGAAAAATGAAGAGTGGACCTGAGTGTGCATAGGTCGGAGACGTCTGGTGGGGCTGTGCAGGTTAGAGAAGCTGCATGGGGTAATGGGCAAGGTGGGGGGCTGGCTCGTGAATTTGGTTCTAATGCCTTTGGCCCAGAGGATGCAAAAGCATTCTGTACCTCTTCAAAATAATAGCCCTTGGTGTCTACTGGGCATGATCTGAACTGGAAATTGCAAAGGCACTGTATCTTTTAAGAAAAATCCCCTTCCTAGTACTTCCTTAAAAACAGCTACTTAATGCAACATTGCCAGCTTGTCTTGATAGTTGTGTTTTCACTATTCTGATATTAATGCAACACCTTCGGAGTGGCTTCCTGGTAAGTGTTCACTTGATGTTTTGTTTTTTTTTCCCCCCAAATCCTTTGTTACAATGGTGCATTCACCTTTCTCCCTTGAGCTGAATGATTATATCTTTTTGTTTTGTTGTTCATGGGGCCTGAACTCTGGGCCTGGGCGCTGTTCCTCAGCTCTTCAGCTCAAGGCTAGCGCGCTGTATCACTTGAGCCACGTGAGCACTACTTCCAGCTTTTTCTGCTTATGTGGTGCTGAGGAATCGAACCCAGGGCCTCATGCATGCAAGGCAAGCCCTCTACCACTGAGCCACCTTCCCAGCCCCTGAATGATTATTTCTTAAGCTAATGTTTTTCCTGCCTGTTCACTTACAAGAAATAGTAAGCCACTGAAATAATCAATAATTTCAAAGTTTGGTTATTTTTCGTTCCCTTTGGGTTTGCTACTTTTATGAGTTAGGATACTTTGAAATGTTTTAGACAAAAGGAGACATCAGGGTTTTTTCTTATTATTGCTACTGTTAAGTAGGTTTATTTACTTAAGTGATCAGCTGTCAAGAGTCAAGGCATAGTTAATTAAAAATTGAGTATAAGGGCTTTTCTTTTGTTGCTGATACTGGGGCTTGAATACAGGGTCTCCTGTTCTTGCCTTTGCTTTTTTTTTTTTTTTTGGTGCCGGTCCTGGGGAGCTTGGTTCTCTGTCCCAGAGTGCTTCTGCTCAAGGCTCGTACTCTATAACTTGAACCACAGCTCTATTTCTGGCTTTTAGTGGTGCTTAATTGAAGATAAGAGACTTTAGGGATTTTCTTGCCTGGCCTGCCTGGAAGTCACAATCCCTGCCTCCTGAGTAGCTAGGATTACAGGCGTGAGCTATTACACCTGGCATTGCCTTTGCTTTTTTTTGCTCAAGTTGGTGCTTTACCTCTTGAACCACCTTCACTCCTGGCATTTTGATTGTTAGTAAGAGTCTCTTGGATTTGTCTGCCCAGGCTAATGTTACATTGTGATCCTTAACATATCTACCTCTTGAGTAGCTAGGCTTACAGACATGAGCCATTGAAGCTGCTTTAAGAAACAAAAACTCACTATCGACAAGATTCATCAGTGACCATCATAGTGAAAACAGTGTTTTATAAACTTTGTTTTTCTTTTTGCTTTCAAATGACTCTGCAGAGGTGGTGTAGTGCATCATCTTGTTGGAGTGCTCAGCACTGAATGAGCATGCTCAGTGCTTGCAGGATAGATGCTAAGTACTTGTATTGACAGAGAGGCTGGATCTGTTCGTGGGAATGGTGAGCAGTGCTGGATCCCATCACCCACTCACTCCCCATGTCCTGTGGTTTGCTGCTCTGTCATTTTATAGAACATAGAGTTTAAAAGCATTTTAGGCACTTTAGAGTTCGAATCCTAGGATTTAAGGGAGAGCATAGAGTGGCTTCATAGGCTAAGTTTTACTTGTAATGTAAAAATCTCTATTTCTGTGTATATGTGTGTGTGTGCATGCATATGCGTGTGCGTGTACGTGTACGTGTGTGTGTGTGTGTGTGTGTGTGTGTGTGTGTGTGTCCATGTCTATGTCCTGGGGCTTGAATTCAGGGCCTGGGCCTGAGCTTTTTAGCTCAAGACTAGCACTCTACCACTTGAGCCACAGCTCCACTTCTGGCTTTTTGGTAATTTAATTTGAGGTGAGTGTCCTAGAGTCTCCCCAGCGGAAACTTCAAATTGTGATCCTCAGCTCTGAGCCTTCTGGGTAGCCAGGATGCCGGGTATGATCCACCAGTGCCAGGCTGTAAATTTGTTTTCTTTGGTGGTGGAGAGGTGGTGAGGGGGGAAAGCATGTGTTTTGCCAGATTCTCAGAAGACAAGACTTTTTTTTAGGAGTTTGTAGTTGTGTGTAAGACCGTAGCCCAGTGAAGTGGCAGAAGGCTGATTGGTGCATAGAGGCCTTGGGCTCAGTTCTAGTACTGCTTAAAACAACAGCCAAAGCTCACTATTGGTTTTTCTTTTTTTTAACTTTATGTTTTATTTTCAAGATGTTTGCTTTATTGATTTTTGCATTTTTGTGAGAAAGGAAAAAGTTTTTACTTGATGAATTCAAAGTAAGTCACTTTCCTGTTCCACGTCCACCCCCACCCCCTTGCCTTGCTGCATCCAGCTCTCTATACAGAACATTTTTGTTTCTTTCCTTGTTTGTTTATTATATCTTGAACTGAGAGTCTTGAGCTCTTGCTTGGATTTTTCACTGAAGGCTGGTGCTGTGCCACTTGAGCCATATCTCCACTTCTGGCTTTTTTGGGGGTTAATGGCAGTCCTGGGTCTTGACCCCGGGGCCTGGACTATGCATTTGTTCCCTCTTCCTCCCCTCTCTCTCTGTGGTTCCCCAACTACCCCTTTAAAAAAAACCCAAAGCAAAAACAAACACCATCAGAATTTTTTTTTTTTTTTGCCAGTCCTGGGGCTTGAACTCAGGGCCTGGGCACTGTCCCTGACCTTCCTTTGCTCACGGCTAACACTCTACCACTTGAGCCACAGCACCACTTCTGGCTAGTTCTGAGTATGTGATACTGAGGAATTGAACCCAGGACTTGCTAGGCAAGCACTCTACCACTAAGCCACATTCCCGGCCCCAGAGGGAAAAAAAAAAAAAAAAAATATATATATATATATATATATATATTGTTGGTCGTGGGGCTTGAACTCTGGGCTTGGGCGCTGTCCCTGTGCTCTACAGCTCAAGGCAAGCGCTCTATTGCTTGACCCACAGCACCACTTCTGGTTTTCTAGTGGTTTATTATTGGAGTCTCACGGACTGAGTAGCTAGGATTACAGGCGTGAGCCACCAGCGCCCGGCCCCAGAAGCAAGATCTAATTTGCTTTTCAGAATTAAGTTAAAGAGTGTATATGATTTTGTTGTATAATTTTGTAAGTGTTGAACTTTTTCAGAACTGTCAGTTTATTTGTCTTTTTTTTTCTCCAGGGCTGGTGAGCAGACTCAGCCTCGTGGAGGGCAGCCTCGGCTATACCACTGCCTTCATTCCCCACCGAAGGATTACTCACTCAGTCAAGCATGGTAAGTTTACATTTTAAATCTTTCCTTCCATTTGAAATATGCACAATATTTGGATCAAATTAGAGATCTGATAGGCTTTGCAAGGTAGTTAAATTTTAGGCTTTGGTGACATTATATTATCTCAAGTAAGAAAATTTAACTTTTTGTTGTTGTGTTGTTGGTCATGGGGCTTGAATTCAGGGCCTAGGTGCTCTTTCACTCACTCAAGGCTAGCACTCTACTACTCTGAGCCACAGTTCCACTTCTGTTTTTCTAGTGGTTAATTGGAGAGAAGAGTCTCATGGGGACTTTTCTGCCCAGGCTGACTTCAAACCACAGTCCTAAGATCTCAGCCTCCTGAGTAGCTTAGGATTACAGGTGTGAGCCATCAGTGCCCGACTTCGTTTTGCTCTCAAGTAATGGTCCATGAATTCTGTTCCATTAAAAACATCCTTTTTGCAGGGCTGGGAATGTGGCTTAGCGGTAGAGTGTTTGCCTGGTATGCATGAAGTCCTGGGTTCAGTCCTCAGTACCACATACACAGAACTAGCCAGAAGTGGCTCTGTGACTCAAGTGGTAGAGTGCTGGCCTTGAGCAAAAGAAGCTCAGGGACAGTGCCTTCCTTTACCTGCTTTTTCTATTTTAAAAAATATTTTATTGTAAAAATGCTGTACATGAGTAAGGTGATGAGTACGTTTCTTGTTAAACATTGTTACCCACTCCTCTGTTCTCACGCTATTCTTTCCCTCCCCACACCTCCCCCTAAGTTGTAAAGTTCATTTCTGACATAGTGTCTTGTGGGTCTCATTGTTGCAATAGGACATCCTTTTTCCTTCTTTCAGCATTTTGTTATTCCCCTTCCCTTCCCCAAATCAGATAAATGTATATACAAGGTGGAGGGTACCAAAATCAATGACAGTGATTGCCAGGGATAAGCCAATGGAAAAAGAAAAATGACATAAAATAAGATGAAATAACTAGATACAGTACATTGACAACAACAAGGTCAATAACCAAAAAAAAACCCAAAAACCCAAAACACCTGCTTTTTCTTTTCTGCTTTTAGTCGTAGGTCTGAAACTGGGTTTTGAACTGTGGGACTTGAACTGTGGGCCTAGGCATTGTCCCTCAGCTCTTCAGCTCGAGGCCAGCACTCTACCACTTGAGCCACAGCACCACTTCCCTTTTTTTTGGGGGGGGGGGGGTGGGCCCGGTCGTGGGGCCTGAACTCTGGGCCTGGGCGCTGTCCCTCAGCTCTTCAGCTCAAGGCTAGCGCTCTACCACTTGAGCCACAGTGCCACTTCCAGCTTTTTTCTTTTTGCTTATGTGGTGCTGAGGAATCGAACCCAGGGCCTTGAGCATGCAAGGCAAGCGCTCTACCACTGAGCCACCTTCCCAGCCCTATTTTGTTGACTTTTAAATCAGCCTCCCTTGCTCTAAGATTCCTTGAAAAGATTTTTTTAATAACAATTCCAAGGGCTGGGAAGGTGGCTCAGTGGTGGAGCGCTTGCCTTGCGTGCCTGAGGCCCTGGGTTCGGTTCCTCAGCACCACATAAGCAAAAAGAAAAAAAAGCCGGAAGTGGCGCTGTGGCTCAAGTGGTAGAGAGCTAGTCTTGAGCTGAAGAGCTGAGGGACAGCGCCCAGGCCCAGAGTTCAGGCCCACGGCCAGACCCTCTCCCCCCCCCAAAAAAAATTCCAAATACTGAAGTTCAGGATAAATAATTTTCTTGGAACATTATACTAGAAAGAAGTGGCTCATTCCTCAGATCAATCTTGTCCTGAGGCCACATGTGGTGCTCTGTTTTATATTTTTCTTTTCACTGGTAGTGTGGTTTATACTCAGGGCTTCATTCTCTCTTGACTTACTTGACTTACTTGCTCACAGGTACTACCACTTGAACCATATCCCTAGCCCTGCTTTTTGCTGGTTATTTTGGAGATAGAGTGTCATGGATTTTTCGGCCTGTTGGCTGTGAAATATTATCCTCCAGATCTGTCTCCTGAGTAGTTAGGCTTACAGGCATGAGCTGCCTGTAAGTCTCAGCTATATATGGTGATATCCAAAATATTTTGATTGTATGTGTTTGGGCTATTCTTGGGACCTGAGCACTGGTTTTGAGCTTGTTTTGCTCAAGGCTAGCACTCTACCACTTGAGCCACAGTTTCACTCCTAGACTTTTGGTAGTTAATTGGATATAAGAGTCTCCTAGACTTTCCTGCCTGGGCTGGCTTCAAACTGTGATCCTCAGATCTCAGCTTCCTGAGTAACTAGAATTACAGATGTAAGCCACCCACACCCAGCAAAGACATTTTTGATTATCATAACTATGGATAACAGCTACTGGCATCTAGTGGATAGACATCAGGAATGTGGCTTGATACTACTGCATGCCCAGTACTATGGTCCTCCCCAAAAAGAAATACTTAGCCAACCCAAAATGTCAGTAGTGCCAAAGTTGAGAATACTTCCTTTAGATGAAGTCATAGTTCCAATCAAGAAAATTAAGTGTCATTGATCATGTTATAATTTCTGTGCTCTTGTCATGTTCCAACAGATTTGTCTTGAGCAAGACAACCTGGGTCAAGAATTTGAAGATGCTTTTGACATATTGAGGCAACACTCTACTGGGGATCCCCAGTACTCCTCTGGTAAAGATCAGTCAATTACAATCTTCTCCTGGTGCACCAACCAGGAGACTAGAAGCCAGGTGCTGATGGTTCACACCTGTAATCCTAGCTACTCAGGAAGCTGAGATCTGAGATCTGAGGATCTTGGTTCAAAACCAGTTGGGGCAGGAACATATAAGAGACTCTTTATCTCCAATTAACTACCAGAAAACCAGAAGTGAGTGGCGCTGTGGCTCAAGTGGTAGAGCGCTGGCCTTGAGCTGAAAAGCTGAGGGACAGCACCCAGGCCCAGAGTTCAAGCCACCCAACTGACCAAAAAAAAAAAAAAAAAAGTAAGTAAGAAAGAAAGAAGACTAGAATCTGACACCTAGTCCAGCTAGGATTCCAGGTATGAGCCACTGGTGCCCAGCCTATTGTGGAGAAAAGAAATTATGGTACCACAGGTTACAAGGAGCTAAAAGGGAATAAACTATGTATATGATTATTTATAATATTTGTATGATGGGATAAACAGCCTGAGACATAAACTGGTGAAAACACGGGACCAGGCATTTGAACAAAAGTTAAGTTTTTGCGAACCTTGGGGCTACTTCTACACACATGTGCGCGCACACACAAACACAACAACACGATCGCTGAAGCTCCCTTCTATATTCTTTAATTAGATCACAGAAATTACCAGCCTCTGTCTAACTACTATCCTCAAATCAGAGGACACTCCAACTGCTTCGGATTTCCTACGGTATCACCTACAGAGCAGTCTGCCCACGACTGGAGAACAGTCATCGTGAGTATCTCCCAAGAGACCGCCCCTCAGGGACCGCTTCCTGTGTGAGCAGGCCAGCACCTATAGGTGGAGACTCAAATTAGTTAGTCCATATCAAGAAGGATGCCTTCCTCTTTGTTCTTTACTCTGCCTCAGTGGTATGGAAGTCTCTAGTGAAGAGGATGCATTCTCTGGGTTCTCACTTGGCTTTATACTCTTCCTTGGCTTTATCTATAATCTTGTATTAGCTTGCTCTCTTCCATGAGCTAGCTGACTGTATTTATATTTTAGCAGCCCCTTACAGAGAAAAATGGCTCCTACAGAAATCTGTCCAATAATGTGTAATTTTATATCATTTTCCAGAAGGATTTGTGTGTTTGTGTGTGAGAACTTCTTTTGCTCAAGCCTAGTGCTCTACCACTTGAGCCACAGCACCACTTGTGGCTTTTTTTTTCTTTCTGAGTAGCTTATTGGAGAGAAGAGTCTCATGGACTTTCCTATCCAGATTGGTTTCAAACCATGATCCTCAGATCTCAGCCTTGTGAGTAGCTAGGATGATGAGAAGCTGGGTAGCTAGGATGACATGAGTGAGCCCCTGGTCTGATGCCTGGCTGTTTTCCAGAAGTTTTTTTTTTTTTGGGTCCGGTCGTGGGGCCTGAACTCTGGGCCTGGGCGCTATCCCTCAGCTCTTCAGCTCAAGGCTAGCACTCTACCACTTGAGCCATAGCGCCACTTCTGGCTTTTTTCTTTTTGCTTATGTGGTGCTCGGGAATCGAACCCAGGGCCTCAGGCATGCAAGGCAAGCGCTCTACCACTGAGCCACCTTCCCAGCCCTTCCAGAAGTTTAAACATAACTATTTCCCTCAATCATGCTATATCCAATGTCTATTCTCTGTTGCTATAGATTCTTCTCTTGGGCCTTTCTTTCCATAAGTCATTTCTTTGAAGAGGGGATTTTGGTTATAGGGTTGCAAGTAAACAATAGGATTCCCAGTATTTTTATTTACAAAGTGTTAGAAGCTGACTTTGACTTCAGCTCCACCTCTAGCTTCCCTAAGCAACTAATTGTACAGTGTCTTGGGGGGTTGTGGTTGGTAACTTCTCCATGGGGAATGGTGAGAGGGCTCAAGTCCAGCCCCTTTCATCGAATTTAACCAATGGGGATGTACAGATCCTTCTAGGTGAAGCTTAGTAGCTTGGATTGCTTCTTTCTATCACCTCTCAGCTCTACCCTCCCTTGACTGCCAATTTCTCTCATCTCCTCTTGCCCAGAGGGCAAAGGACGAAAATCTACCTTCTGACACCTTTTGAGTTTCCTTTCTAATAGAAACATTGTGGGGAGGGATCACTGAGGGAAACACCCCCCTCTCATGTAGAGAGAAGAGAGGATATGGAACTCCATAAAGCTAAAGTTCAAGCCAGGTGCCAGGTGCTGGTGACTCGCAATGCCTGTAATCCTAGCTACTCAGGAGGCTGAGATCTGAGGATCTCAGTTCAAAGACAGCCCAGGCAGGAACATCTGAGAGATTATCTCCAATTAACTACCTAAAGAGCAGAAGTGGTGCTGTGACTCAAGTGGTAGAGCGCTTGCCTTGAGCTGAAGAGCTCAGGGACAGCGCCCAGGCCCAGAGCTCAAGCCCAATGACTAACAGGAAAAAAAAAAGCTAAAGTTCACCTTCTGTTCCTTGGTCCTCTCTTATATCAGTCTGAGTACAATCTGGTTGCCATTGAGGGAAGCACCTTTTATAATTTGGAGATAGAGCTAGGAGCAGGTAGCTCTCTCTTGAGCTCTGAGGATCATGGTTCCAAACCATGGAACCACGGTGGGCAGAAAAGTCCAGGAGATCTCTGATTAGCAAAAAACAAAAGAAAACAAAAACCAGAGGCAGTTGGGTCAGACCTGTAATCTAACTACTCAGGAGGAGGAGATCTAAGGATCAGGATTTGAAGCTAGCCCAGGCAGGAAAGTCTATGAGACTCATATCTACAATTAAACACCAAAAGAAAAAAAAGCTGGAAATGGAGCTGTGACTCAGTGGTAGAGTGCTAGTCTTGAACAAAAAGTTTCAGGGACAGTGCCCAGTCTCTGAGTTCAAGCCCCAGGACTGGTATAAAAATCAGAAGTGGAGCTGTGGCTCAAGTGTTAGAGTTCCAAACTTTTTTTTTTGGCCATGGGGCTTGAACTTGGCCTGGCGCTGTCCCTCAGCTCTTCAGCTCAAGGCCAGCACTCTACCACTTGAGCCATGGTGCCACTTCCAGTTTGCTAGTGGTTAATTGAACATAAGAGTCTCACGGACTTTCCTGCCCAGGCTTGCTTTGAACAGGGATCTTCAGATCTCAGTCTCCTGAGTAGCTAGGATTATAGGTGTGAACCACCGGCACCCAGCTGAGTTCCAGCCTTGAGCAAAAAAGCTGAGAGATGCCTGGAGTTCAAGGCCCAGCACTGGACCACACATGGAAAAAAAAAAAAGAATTTGGGAGATAGATATTTAGCACACTGCTCTTAGCATTCATCTTTAGCTGTCCATTGGGGGCCATAGGAAAGGCCTTCACTTAACATCCTGCTCTCTTATTTACACAGAACAGTGCTGCTGACTTAAATTTTGAAGGGAATATTTATCCATCGCTGCAGAATATAACTGAAAGCCAGTTGGTACCACCTGCTGTTTTCCCACAAAAAGGAGGAAAAGGTATGCTGATCTATCACGCCTCCTATCTGTAAAATAATCCGAGCTTATTCTTAGCCAAGGAGAAGCATAAAAGGAATTTTATATTGAGTTTGGAATGTTATATTTGCAATTGTGTTCCCATGATCTTCTAGTGTCAGCATTCAGGAAACTAGCAGGAAAATAGAATCAGATACCCTGTCTCAAAAACAAAAAGGAAGTATTATAATTGTGATAATTTGGTCCAAGACATTCGTCTTGGGTGATATTTTCTTTTACTCATGGAGAAATTGTGAAGCTACAAAGTGTCATTTCTATTTATTTTTTAGTTGTGGGGCTTGAACTCTGGGGCCTGGGCACTGTCCCTGAGCTCTTCAGCTCAAGGTGAGAGTTTTACCAATTGAGCCACAGCATCACTTCTGGTTTTCTGAGTGGTTCATTGGAGTTAAGAGTCTTTTTTTTTTTTTTGTCCGTCGTGGGGCTTGAACTCTGGGCCGGGGGTTGTCCCTCAGCTCTTCAACTCAAGGCGAGCGCTCTACCACTTGAGCTACAGCGCCACTGGAGTTAAGAGTCTTATGAAGCTTCCTGCCCAGTCTGTCTTTGAACTATGATCCTCAGAACTCAGCCTCCTGAGTAGCTAGGATTATAGGTGTGAGTCACCAGTGCCTGACTTCAAAGTATCATTTAAATCAAATAGATCTGTAGTTAAAAAATAATGTAAGCCATATGTTCCTGTAATCCCATTGTTAGGAGAAAGACAGAATTCCAGCTGAGGCAGGAAGATCATGAGTTGGAAACCAACCCCTGTCTCAAAAAGTAGGTACTTTAGTTGTAAGATTGTGATTAGTTTAACAATCCTATTCTAATTGTGGAGCCATTGGGATAAAATCATACGTCACAAACACATCATACATTTGAAATCAAGATTTTTACAACATTAAGATGAGGCGGGCTTCCCTTCTCTGATAGGCAAAGAGGTAAAGCCAGAAAGTATCTCTGATGGCTAAGGTGAAGGCCACCACATTCTCATGAACTGCGGAGACAGTGTAAGTTGGTACGAAGTTTTGTAAGGCAATTTGGCCACCCATACCTATCACAATTTAAAATAGCCATTGGCTGGGATACCAGTCAGTGGCAAGTGCTTGTCTAGCATGCTCAGGGCTATGGAACAAACCAATTTATTTGTGCCATTTGTGTATATGTCTGCCTGTGTGTGTGTGTGTGTGTGTGTGTGTGTGTGTGTGTGTGTGTGTGTGTGTGTGTGTGTGTGTGTGTGTGTGTGTACATGTCTGAGTGCGTGCCAGTCAGTCAGTACTGCATGGCTTGGACTTCGAGAAGGCCTTGACTGTCTTCTCCCTTAAAGGCTAGTGCTCTACCACTTGAGCCACTCCTGCTTTTTTCTTTTTGTTGTTGATCGTGGGGCTTGAACTCAGGGCATGGGCTCTGTTCTTGAGTGTTTTTGCTCAAGGCTAGCATTCTATCACTTGAGCCACAGCACTACTAGCATCTTTTTTTGGTGCATTAATTGGATAGAAGAGCCTTGTGGACTTTCTTGCCTGGGCTGGCGTAAAGCCATGATCCTCAGATCTCAGCCTCCTGAATAGCTTGGATGATATGTGTGAGCCACTGGCAATATCACCCTTGTCTTGGTCTCTCCCAGGTTTCCCCTCCCATCCCTAACCACAAGTTGTATAGTTCATTTCAACATAGTGTCCAGTGAGTACCACTGCTGTATTTGCTTTTTATTAATTTTGACCATTTACTTGATTCTGCCTATTCACTGATTGTGATTGATTTCAATGGTGGCGATCAGAACCGAAGGCTTTGTACATGCTAGGCAACTGTTTCGCTGTGGAGCTCTGCCCTAGCCTTCTGTTACAGCAAATACAAATTTAAACTTTAGGAAAAAGTTGCTTTCATTAGTTACCCAGGGAAGTGGCGCTGTAGCTCAAGTGGTAGAGCACTCGCCTTGAGTTGAAGAGCTGAGGGACAACGCCCAGGCCCAGAGTTCAAGCCCCACGACCGACAAAAAAAAACTATATAGAGCATTAGTTACCCAGAAGGGGATTTCATTGTTGTTAATGTTTTCCACACATGTCAAGACATTTGTTTAAAACTTGAAAGCAAAGTTAAAAGGCTCATTCTGAGAGGCAGAAGAGGGTTGTTTAGCGCTGTGGGTTTAATTCATGATTTTATTTTTTGGTAAGTACCTTTTATTTCTCAATGTATAATCTCAAGATAACATTAGTGATTCATCTGTAGAAACCTTTAAGGTTTCTAGATGAATGACGATGGACAGAGACCATTATGTCCCAGAAATTGTTTAAAGCAGCTAGGGAATCAACTTCTGTTTTTTCAAGAGGAAAAAGGAATTTGGCTATGTAGATTTTTAGCTCCTGGTGGATCTGAGGAAACATAGTATTTATGCTTAATCCAGAATTCACAAAATAGTCTTGTTATCTCTGGTTAATTGCAGGTATCTCTCTTGGATTTATTGATCTACAATTCTCAGATCTCAGCCTCCTGAGTAGCGAGGATTTTCATTTTTCAAGACATCTTGTAGCTCCAGTGTTAACAGCTTTATCGTTAATTCCCCAAATAGTTCCTTCTGTTTGCAACACTTTTTCCAAATTACAAAGTACCTTTATATTCCTTCCCTCATTTGAATACAGCTTCTTCCAATGACTTGCAAACTGTTTCCCACATCTTTTCAAAGCCACCAAACTTTGTACTGTGTTTTGCTCAGTTCTGTTCCATGTATGCTGTGGAATTAGGAGGTCGTGATTTAACTGTGATGGAAAGCCCTATGACAAATGAACCCCAAATAGTAGACTCCAAACTTGCCTTTCACAGCAAATGACAGTTCAGAACCACTGACAATTTCCAACACAAACATAGAGCTGGTTGAAACTTGATACTTTGATCTTAAATAAGTTCTATAAAACGATATTATAAATAAGTGCCTTCTTAAGTCGGAAATCCAGTCTTCAGTGTGCCAAGGAAGCTCTTTGGGTATAGCACAGTGGGTTTGATTTCTTTTTCTGTGCTTTAGGCAGGAAGAAGCTGAGACTATTTGAATACCTTCACGAATCCTTGTGCAATCCCGAGATGTCATCTTGTATTCAGTGGGTTGATAAAAATAAAGGCGTCTTTCAGTTTATCTCCAAAAATAAAGAAACACTTGCTGAGCTTTGGGGGAAAAGGAAAGGCAACAGGAAGACCATGACTTACCAGAAAATGGCCAGAGCCTTGAGGAATTATGCACGGACGGGAGAAATCATCAAAATCCGGAGAAAGCTCACCTACCAATTCAGTGATGTCATCCTCCAGAGGCTTTCTGCTCCTCCTGCCTTGGGGAAGGAAATCTTCTGCTCACAGTACGTCCAGCCAGACCAAAGATATCTCAGTTTAAATAGTTGGGATGCCAATTACAACTATGCATATGCCAATTACCAGGAGCTAAAGTACCCGGTATGCTAACTATGCTCTGCCATTTACTGGTCTCCTGTCATCAGAAAATGCTACAAACGTCAGGATTGTTTACTTGAAGCAAGCACTTCCCACCTTCATAGTCATAGGTTCCGCATCAAGAATTCAGCCAATTATGCATCAAAGTATTAAAAAAAGAAATTGTGCCTCTTTTTAAATGATACAATAGTGCAATGATAGCATTTATGTTGCACATTTTTCCTAGTTCATGCAAATCCTAGGCCAATTTTATATGAGGAAGTTGAGCATCTGTGGATTTAAGGATCAGAGGGGCTCATGAAACCAATCTCATATATTGAGGGATAATTGTAGTAGAGGAAACAAAGTCCAATTATCTTAATTATTGCTATCTTTTATCAGTTAGCATATAGTCTATACTAGCATGGGGGAAGTTTTGCCAGTATTCTATTGTTTGAATGTTCAATCCTTGTTTGGGAGTATAGAGGAAATTACTTTTTTTGCTTCCATGCAAGCATTTTCTTTTCTTCCAGATTATGTCAAAGTACATTATTTGATTTATATATTGATTTAAACATTTCCTTCCATATACTCAGGTGAAAAGAATCACTGTAGCATATACCCAGAAGACTCTTATTTCCAATTAACTAGAAAAAAGCTGGAAGTAGAGGCTTGGTTCAAATGGTAGAGCACCAGTCTGAGCAAAAAAGTGAGGAAAAAAAGAAAAGGAAAGAAAGAAAAGAAAGATGTGCCAATATACAGGGTTCATATAAAATGTATTCTTAGATTTAAAAACTTCAGAGAATTGTTTATCTTTTGACTGCTTGCTAGTTTAATAGTACAAGGTTTTTTTTTCTGTTTTTTTGGGTCCGATCGTGGATCCTGAACTCTGGGCCTGGGCACTGTCCCTCAGCTCTTCAGCTCAAGGCTAGTGCTCTACCACTTGAGCCATAGTGCCACTTCCAGCTATTTTCTTTTTGCTTATGTGGTGCTGAGGAATCAAACCCAGGGCCTCATGCATGCAAGGCAAGCGCTCTACTACTGAGCCACCTTCCCAGCCCGCTTCTTGATTATTTTCTATTAGCTCCTTATCCAATCCTGATTTGGAAATATTTTCTCCTGGTCTGGATTGTCTCTTCACTCTATTTCCTTTTCTGTAAAGGTTTTTGTTGTTTAATGCAATCTTATTTGTTTATTTGTGTTTTCATTGCTACTGTTTGTGAGGTCACATCCAATTTCATAAAATCTCACCCTCTACCCCTTCTCTGCTCTAGCTCTTTTGGTGCTTTTTTTTTTGCCAGTCCTGGCGCTTGAACTCAGCGCCTAGGCACTGTCCCTGAGCTTCTTTTGCTCAAGGTAGTACTCTACCATGTAAGCTATGGTGCCACTTGCAGCTTTTTCTATTTATGTGGTACTGAGGAATCGAACCCAGGGCTTCATGCATGCCAGGCAAGCACTCTACCACTAAGCCATATTCCCAGCCCCTGAGATAAAGTCTTGACCAGGTCAACCTGGACTAGGATCCCCCTATGTATGCTTCCCATTGCTTTTGGGATTGCAGGCAAGCACCCCTATACCAAGTGACTGGTTTACAAGCAGGGTCTTGGGGACTTTTTGCATGGGCTGTCTTTTGACTGTGATCTTCCCTGTGTCTACCTCCCATATAGCTGAGATGAACTTGGATGAGCCACTAGGGCCCAGTTCTCTTAGAAGTTTTGCACTTGCCAGTCTAATGCTTCAATCTTTAACCAGCTATAAGTTGATTCTTAGACCCTTAGGGATCTATAGAAATCCAGTTTTCCCAGTGCCATTTATTGGAGAGGCTGTTTGCTTCCCAAACGTGTGTTCTTCCTTGGCTTCTTTGTTAGAAATCAATTTACCTTAGGTATGAAGGGTTGGTTTTTTGGGATCTATTTTGTTGGCTGATGTGTCAAACCATGTTGGTTTGGTTATTACAGCTTTATAATATATACCTCTAGCTTTGTTCTTTTTGTAATTCTGTATAAACTTTAGATTTTTTTTTTTTTTGTTAAGAAGGGCATTCACTTATTTTGTCAGTCATGGGGCTTGAACTTGGCCTTTGTGCCATCCCTGAGCGCTTTTGCTCAAGGCTAGCACTCTACTACTTTGAGCCTCAGCTCCACTTCTGATTTTCTGGTAGTTAATTTGGGGATAAGAGTCTCATGAGCTTTCCTGTTTGAGCTGGCTTTGAACCTCGATCCTCAGATCTCAGCCTCCTGAGTAGCTAGGATGACAGGCATGAGCCACTAACACCGACAACTTCATAGTAATCCATACTGGTGAGAACGTGGAGGACAAGGAACCCTCACAGACTGACAAAGGGAACAAGAGCCAGTGGGGAAATCAGTATGGAAGTTCCTCAAGAAACTTAGGGCTGGGAATGTGGCCTAGTAGTAGAGTGCTTGCCTAGCATGCATGAAACTCTGGGTTCGATTCCTCAGTACCATATAAACAGAAAAAACCAGAAGTGGTTCAAGTGGTGGTGTCTAGCTTTGAGCAAAAGAAGATTAGGGACAGTACCCAGGCCGTGAGTTCAAGCCCAGAACTGGCAAAAAAGAAAAAGAAAAAAAACTACCATCCAGCCTGCTGCGTGTGACTCGTGTATAGCTGAAGAATGTAAGTAAGCATACACACAGACTCCTGCACACCCTGTGCATTGTAGCACTGTTCCGAATAAAGAGCCTAGCTACAGGAATCAGCTTAGATGCCTGTTGTTTGCCTGAATGGGCAAAGAAACCATAGTTCTACAAAGGAGCACTATTCAACCATGAAGAAGAATGAAGTTGCCATTTCCAGGAAAACGAATGGAATCAGAACATCAGCACTTTAAGGGAAATAAGCCAGACTGAGAAAGATTGATTACGTGCTGTTTCTCATATTCAGATTCTAGACCTTTAGAAAAAAATTACATGATGGAAGTAGAGTTGTTGTATAAGTAGCAGAACATCAGTTTTGAACAAAAAAGCTCAGGGTCAGTACCAGTACCCTTACACATACACACGTACACACACACACACACACACAACAAAACTTGAATCTAAAAGTAACTGGCAGAAGCAAAAGGAGAGTGACGAATGAAGGGTAAATGTGATTGAAATATAGCTTGTGATATAGTTAACAGTAATATTAATTTTAAAATAGTAGATGACTATGTTTTTATCACAAAAATGATATTTAAACTGATATGAAGGTTAACATGAATTCTACAATGTATATTTTTATGTATCACATAACATGTTCAATTATTTATCAATAAATAAGTAAAATGAAAAATTTTTCTTCAAAATCTTTTATCTTCACTCGTGGTCTGTAGCCTTTTGATAGAAAGAGGTGATGGCATAGGAAAAATGGCATTCATGAAAATTCTTTGTGCTAGTCCTGGGCTTTGAACTTAGGGCTTGGGTGCTGTCTCTGACCTTTGTTTTCTCAAGGCTAGCACTCTACCACTTGAGCCACATCTCCACTTCCAGCTTCTTGGTTAATTGGAGATTAGAGTCTCAGGGACTTACTTGCCCTGACTGGCTTCAAACTGGGATCCTTAGATCTCAGTCTGAGTAGCTGGGATTACAGGCAGAAGCCATCAGCTGAAAGTAACAGTCTTAATGCTATCCTTGGGTACATCGCGTGGGCTAATGTCTCTTGCTATCCTAAAATTAAGCCACAGGGGGGTGCTGCTGCCTCATTTGTTCAGTAGAACCTTGAAACCAGGGTTTTCCCTTGAAGGAGCCCAGTTGGAGGTGGAGAAGGCAGAGAGGGTGGAGAGTAGAAGGAAGAAGGAAGAGAAAAAAGAGGGAGCAGACTGACAAAGGCTACAGATTAGCAATAAAGAGGCAACGAGGACATGAACATGCCTGTGCAAAAGCCTAGCCCCTGAATTTGATCTCTAGTACTGAAAAGAACAAAGTCCGTTTTGTCATTGTGGTTAGTTGTGTTAGCGCCTTCACCAACCACCAGTCCTCTTGGTCAAGCGCCATGTTCTCCTTCTTGCAATGTTCCTCTTGTCCCCTCTCTGGGCTCTTGTGCCATTTCCCTCTTCCCTTCTGGGTCTTTTCATTACAGTATTGCTGTGCCAAGTGGTGCAGTTGGCACAACACCAAGAAGCTGACATGTGACTTCCTTTTTGAGCCATTTATTAACAGTAGTCATACCTCACACTTAACTTGGCTTGGCACTTAGACACACAGGCCATTTTACTAGGAAATTTCCTTTTTGTCCACCATCGCCACAGCAGTATAAAATGTCTGGTGTTTTTAAAATAATTACCATTTTCAAATAGGAAGCTGAGCGCTGGTGGCTCATGCTGAGGCTGAGATCTGAGGATCACAGTTCAAAGCCAGCCTGGGCAATAAAGTCTATGAGACTCTGATCTCCAATAAACTACCAGAAAACTAGAAGTGGTGCTATGGCTCAAGTGGTAGAACACTAGCTTTGAGCTGAAGAGCTGAGGGACAGTACCCAGGCCCACAGTTCAAGACCTACCACAAAATAATAAATGAGCCTCAAGTTAAATCTCAAGAAATTTAGCTGGACAGATTACACCTGCTAAAGACCATTAGCTTGGCAAAGAGAAAGAACTTACATATCTGCCATGGCTTAGGCAGATAAAAGTCAGCTAAGAATGGTTTGAGGCATATGTGATTTCATTTAAACAATTTCCTGTGCTTTTCCCAGATTGAAGTTTTTGTTTTTTCTTTTTTTGCCAGTTCTGGGGCTTAAACTCAGGGCCTGGGCACTGTCCCTGAGCTTCTTTTGCTTAAGACTAGCATTCTACACTTAAGCCACTTCTGGATTTTTCTGTATATGTGGTACTGAGGAATCAAATCCAAGGCTTCATGCATGCTAGAGAAGCACTCTACCACTAAACCACATTCCCAGTCCCAGACTGAAGTTCTTAATCCTATCTTTTTGTTTATTTCTCTCTCTCTCTCTCTCTCTCTCTCTCTCTTTTGTTGGTCGTGGGGCTTGAACTCTGGGCTTGGGCACTGTCCCTGCATTCTTTAGCTCAAAGCGAGTGCTCTACCACTTGAGCCACAGTTCCACTTCCTTAACCCTATGTTTTTTTAGAGATATATCTAACTGGAAATCATTCTAAGACACCTGCTAGCTTACATCAGATAGACAGTGTGATTTTGCCCAATATCATGTAGTTACTAAAATGCATTAGCATTAACTATAGGGATTTAGAGGTATACCCCATGCAACCACTACCTAGACCAAGGTACAGAGTACCCCACACCCCAGGAAATAACTTTCCAATCTATACTTGTGTTCCAGTATATCATTTGAATGCACTCATACTATATGCATACTTTTACATTTGATTTTATTTACCTTGGTAAAATATGATGTTTATTAAGTTTATCAGTGTTGTATATGCTGAGTTTCTTCCTTTCCTCCTGATCTCTTCCTCTTTTATTTTTATTATTTTTTAAATTGTTTTGTGTTTGGTACTGGAGATCTCACTCAGCACCCCACACACACACACACACACACACACACACACACACACACACACACACACACACACACACACACACACGCCAGGCAAATGCTCTACTTAGAAACACACAATCCCCA